ACTTCTTTGAAGACCTCCGAATCTTTTGCAAATACACTTTCAATTTTTTTTACCATCCCCCTTGTTTATTATGCATTTTTACTTAACTTGCATAGTTTAATTTAGCATGAGTCACTCCTGTGGGTTAACAGCTTTCTATTCTAGTTATATCTAGTCATTGTGTTTTCAACAATATGCTTCCCGTTCCAAAGACTTCCCCGAACCTTGCACAGGAGAACTAGCAGAGCCCCTTGATCCTGGAGTTAAAACCTGAAAGCTCTGGAAGGAGGTGTGAACAAATAACCCCAAATCTGGAAATTATATGCTTTAGAAAAATATAAAACCATCCTGTTAGTGAATCTCTAGATTAGATTAGAAACTCTAATACCATCATAAATGGGTTTTAAGAAAATTATATTGGAGCCTCGCAAAGTTTGGAAAAGGCTGCAGATCAAAGAAATTATAAGGTGGTAGCAAATTGTAAATAATATATTTTGAAATTATAATTAAAATTAACCAGAGTCAATTTTCTGAGGCATTGAGCTATTAAAGATTTATGAATTGCCTAAAATCTCGAATCTTTCCTGAGGTAATCGCTTCAGTGGACATAAAGGAAAGGTATCTTATTTGCTGCTTCACTGCTTAAACCAGCACGAGAAAACCAAATTTGTGATTATTACTCATTATGAGGATGTTTATTGCAAAATACGGTTAGCCCTTAAAATTATATGAAAAAAGATCACTAAATGTCGTTTTAGTCTTTCCTTAAAACTTATAATTAGCAAAACTTACAAGTTCTCTAAACCAATTAAGCTCTACCTGAATATGTAGGTAAATGCCCTACAGAAACTTTAGGCTTAACTCTATGTAAATCTTGCATCATACCAACTGATACTTTATACATTACTAATAGAATATTGAAAGAAATCAATTTTTAATCCCATTTGTGCAATCAACATTCAAAGTATGATTTTTGAAAAAAATCTTGTATCAGAATTTATTCCATTTGTCAAATGTTCCTGCCTGAAATGACACCGATGTAGACTTCTGAGTTTCTGGATTTCATCCTGGGGAGCTTCAGTGTATAAATAAGCTCATTATCACAAACACAGCCTTATTAACTCTTGTGGTCCAAAGTGTCAATTCAGGAAAATAGAACCCAGAATGCCTTCGTACTATTATTTGCTTCACGCCTTTGGAAATCCGGGGGAGGCTCTATAGCACTAGAGAGAACATTGGGAAATAGGATCTATACAATGTTTACCACCAGATTTTTTTCCAAATGGCACTTATGTGAACATTTGTAACTTGTATTTTTATGAGGATTGAATTATCCCCGGGTTTGCTGGTTGTGCAGGGCCGTCGTCTGTGGCAAAGTACATCCGCCCCGGTCGGCATAGCTCCAGCACACGCACTTACTGTTGCACTTGAATCCTGGGCTCTATCACTTTCTACTCATTGCTCCTGGGCAAGCTCACTAAGCTCTCTGAGCCTGTTTCCTCATCTGCAAACATGAAGAATAGCAATACGTTCGTGGTGCAATTAAATGAGATAAACGTCAATGGTAAAATCAGCACATTAGTGCCTATTTAAAAACTACTACAGCTGAGAGCCATCTGGGTCAGGCGGTGTTTCTTGAACTCCTAGTTATATTGTGGTCAGTAGTCAAGCTCCAGAAGCTTAGGCCTCAAGGGCCAGGTGACCAATCTGATTGTCAGATGACCAACGTCCGTCAGGAAGTGGTTATGAATTTTGAGAGGCACTGATCGTCTTTGTTCTAGACCATCTGTCCAAGGCTAGTTTGGGAACAGCCTTGGGAAGTAAAGTCAGTGTCTCCCTGTGAATCAAAGCACAGGGTTGCTTATCGCCTTGGGAGATGTCGATGGTGTCTCCCTCCAGAGCAGGGGGCAAGCATGCCATTGCCCCAAGAAAGAGATATGGTTTTTGTACTGTGCAGAACACCAGAAATCCAACACTGGGGTTTCCTCACCTTTACCGTGACCCACTGCAGTGCACACATCCACGGGTTCTCGTTTTGCCTCTCGGCAGGAAGTGGGGTTCAGAGACTGGCTCCCAACGGGCTCTTGTTGCCCCCTGTGCTGTGAGTAATACAGTCACTCGGTCCTCTCATAGAGTCTCATATGTTTTACCAGAATCCATGAAGTGACATCAGGCTAACTTGTTATCTTGCAAATAAGGTAACATCAGACCCTTCATATTCTTTCTTTTTTTTTTAAGGCTATTATTAAGATAGATTTCACATGCCACAAAATTCAGAAATCTAAAGTATACAGTTCAGCAGCATTTAGTATCTTCACGGAGTTGTGCAACCATCATCATGATCTAATTTTAGAACTTTTTCAACACCCCCAAAAGGAGCCCCGTATGCATCAACAGTCATTTCCCATCCCCGTCCTTCCCTCCCTCTCTTGTTAAGCCGATGTTAGAGCTGGGGGGTGGAAGCAGGAACACAGTCAAGAGGCCTCTGTAGCACTTAGTGAAGGCGAGACGTGTCTGAAGAGAAGATATATTTTAGAAGTAGAGCGGAGAGGATTTCCTGACCAATGGCATCTGCTGGAAGGATTTGCTGATGGATTTTCCGTGAGGTGCGAGTGAATGAGTAACGGGTGAGTTGGTCATTTCTGGCCTCAGTAGCTGGAAGGATGCAGTTGCCATTAAGTGAATTGGGGACGACTGTGGATGTAGCAAGTTCTGAGGACCAAGAGCTGCACTTAAATTACATGAAGCTGAAAATGTCCAATGTTACGGTGAAATGGAATAGGCAATATGTAGCATTCCAGAGTTCAGATGAGAAAGACTGCTTGAAGATAGGAATTTGGGAATTTAGAGCCGGGAGACTGTATGAGATCACCCAGGAAGTACAAAGAGACCAAGAGGGGGAACAGTCCTAGAACTGAGCCCGGAGGCACATCACCCGGTGAGGTCAGAGGGGGAGGTGAGACCCGTAACATCAAAAAGCAAGACACAGTTTTGGACAGAGTTTTCTTCCCAGAACATTGCAAGTGTTACATATTCTCTTTGTTGCCGGATGTGAAAATCATCCTTTGGGAGATGTGCGCTCAGACTTGGTGTGATTTATATAATAGGCAACTATTTGCTAATTCCACTGGCTTCCTGAGAGGGAGGAAAAAACGAATGATTTCAGGAGAAGGGGCTTGAGACCCATAGGTTTTCCAGGCAGGTGCAGAGAAGGCCAACCCTGGCATGCGTCACGCCAACGCAAACAGACAAGTGTACGAGATCCGTATTCCGTAGTGTCACAGCAGATCTTAAATATCATATACTCAAACATATATCACAGTGGTACATTCCGGACGTATGATCTGAAGGACAAACTCTGGATTTAGGGACTTTCTCTGAAGACCATTTACAGTATTGATTATAGAGTTAGGTTTTGATTCTGGCTTTTGGTTGTATTTATAAAACATCGAAAGACATTTATTTTCAAGTACAGGTTCGTGCATGGTATTGTAAAGGCCTTGCCAGTTGAATTTTACACATTGAGAAGAAAATGAAGTGCTCACCGCTTCATCCGTATTCGCTTCCTTTGCTGTACTGTGCAGAACACCAGAAATCCTTACTTTTATGTAAAACCAAGGTGGTGTCTTATGAGATGCCAAACATCTGCATGAAACTGAAAAAAAAAAAGGTCAGTCATCAATGTTTACTACTATCTGGATATTTGATGTCATGGAAATGATAAATCATAATTAGCATTTCAATTTGTCAAGCAGATGTTCATTGAAATACAGACGCAACCTATCCCACCGGCTGGAAGGACATTTTAGATGACCCATAATTGTTCTTCTGCTTCTCAAAGTTAAAGAGAAACACAGTCTGTTATCATAATCCTTTCAATGGTGTGTAAAGGGGTGTGTCACCTTATGAATTTGCGATTTTGCATCGACAGGATAATGTGCTGAAATTGATTCCACCTGTTGTGTTTTAAGGCTCCTAATGACCAGAAGCAGCGCCAGGCAGGATTATCCATCAGACTCAGGATTCAAGTGTCTTGTTTATTTTCACCAGGTTTGTTTGTTTGCGTTTTGACTCTAAATCTGTTTTTACGAGTGACATTGACGTAGTAAAATCCTGTCCACTGTGCACGAGGACTTGTCTTCAGCGGCCTGCAGGGATCTGATTTTCCGATGAGTGGAGAGATTTCTCAAGTCAAGAATCTCTGGCTCCTAGCTCCTTTCTCAGCTCTTTAGTGTTCCCAATACTCCCCTGGGTGGTCCCCAGGCTGTTCTGCGGCCCACGGGAGCTCTGGGGCTCTGGCTGGTGGAGCAAGTCTGCGGCCAGGCTCCGCTAGCTGCACCCTATGCTAGTCCCGGCTCACATTTTCTATTTCTATTCTCACTTTTGATTTTTTTTTTTTTTTTGACCTCTTTTCCTTTTCCGCAATGATCTTTGGTTTTGAAGCGGTCTTCCTCTTGCCGCTTCAAGGACATGCTCGGGAATAATGAAAAGCTCAAGGAGTATTACAATGGTTAGAGAAAAGGCAATATTGTTGTTAAGTAGCACACCTCAAAATTATTACTCTGAAAAAGGACAACACTCATTTAGAGGTATAAATTCTGGGATGCTTATTTTTAAATTGCTCACTAGCTTGTTGATCCCATCTGCATTTGCATTTTTTACCTGAAAAAGGGACAAGATTGTTGGTGGTATATGTGTGCTTCTCCACAGATTGTATATCTCGTTATGATGTTTATGTCCTAAGAGAATGTTTTCCTTTCTCCTTGGTGGTACCATCATGTTGTTTGTTAAATATACCACTAGAAGGACATAGGAATATAGAAATGTGAGAGAAGAGAGCTAGGTATACACAACGTGGTGAGTTAAAATGGAGAATAAGTTAAATTTACTTATTTTTTTTTAAAAAAAACATACTTTAGAAGGAGCCCAGTGGAGGGCTCTTTTTTTTTTAATTCACTTATTTTATTAAAAAAAAAAGCAATCTAAATCCCTGGGATGGATGGAAGGGGTGTTGCCAGAGGTCAGAAGGACAGGGAGAAGGCGCAGTAGCCTCGTGAAGACATCCACGCGGCAGCTGTTACCTGCGTCTGTCAGGACCTTGCACTCGGGTGCTGCTGGCTGCTGGTTGAGACTGAGGCTAAGCAGCCCTGGGGAGGAGCCAGGCACCTGCGCCTTGAGCTCCCCACTCAGCTGCCACTGGTTGACACAGAGGCCCTGGCCAGCTGACAGAATCAGGCCCTGGCAGAAGGTGACATGTTTCTGTGGCGTCCTTTTGGGGAAAATAGTCATGGGTGTGGAGGATCGGAGGTGCCAGAGGGTGAGTGCTGGGCCTCCTCCACAGACCATCCAGTCTGAGTCAGTGGCCAAACAGCCAATCCAACGCCCATTGTGTGGCCTTGACCACTCCTCATGCTTATATACCTGGATGGTCTGGACTTCCTTGGCTGTGCGGAGGTCCCAAAGTTGCACGGCTCCATCCTCTCCACCTGACAGCACCTCAGGACTCCGCTCCCGCAGTGCCAGGCAGTGGACATAGTCTGTGTGGCCCTGGAGGGCCCGTGTGAAGGTCCCGGTCTCAAGGTCCATCATATGCAACTGACAGTCTCCCCCTACCAGAATGAGAGAATTCTCCTTGGGGACGAGAAGCAAAGCATTGATCTCAGGCACTTCTAGGTTGGTCCTGTTTGGGGGCTGACGCCGCCACAGCTCATTACAACCCTTCTTGAGGATCTCTGCCCAAAGCCAGGCCTTCACTTCCCCGTCCCCAGCACTGAGCTGATGTCGATCCGTGGAGACCATGCTGTAGACCGGCCCATCATGGGCTTGGAATGTCACCACTGGCTTCTAAAGGAATTTTGAAGAAACAGGGATAGAGATGTAGCAGTAAGGGGAAGGATTATTTCAGTTAAAGCACATTGCCGGAGGATAGGGAGGTCATGGGTTCTATTACATTATATATAATCATGATAAAGAAGAAAGGGTGAGAAATAGGAAAGAAAGTGAATTATCAGAAATGAAGCTAAAGAAGGGATAGAATATTGACCAGATTTTCAGAGAAACCTACAAAAAAACCCGTTCCATACTAACACGAGTCACAGGTCCAAGATTTTTCGGAACTAGCTTTCGAAGGATATACTCCGCTACACGGCCGTTGTGGTCTCCGGCCCTGCTCTGTGGAGGGAGGTGATTGGAGCTAGGAAAATCAGTACATCGTCTGTCCACGAGGTAATCAGCCCCTCGGGGGTGCATAGAAGTAAGACTTCAGAGCTTCCTACTTGTGTTTCTCGGAAGACTGCCCTGCCTAGACCTCGAGTAAGGCATGACATCTCCTATGAATGAGTCTGTGGCTTTATTTCACAGATTATCAGACTTAGAGATACCGACCATGGCCTTAGGGCGGTGAGAGAAGGTCATTCTAGAAGTGGAGAGGTTGGAACCCGGCATTCTTCCCCATGAATATTCGCTGGAATTACACTATACGCTTTTTGTCGTCGTTTTTTCCGAGGGACCACGAAGGCAACACAGACGGGCTTGACATATGCTCGTTGTCCACATCGCGGAGGTGTCGTTATTACAGACTGTCTCCAAAAGAGATTGTTAGCTCGCTTCTTATTGTGGAAATAAACACAGTGAGAGGGAAGAAGAAATGAAACCGTCTTCCTGCCATTTCTCATTGGAGCCAGTTTAGAATGAAAACAAACCCAAACACCCTTAAGCCCAGCAGCAACATTTATAACAATTTTCCTAATTTAACTCCTTTTCTTTTTGCTAAGGAGGAACAGTTGTATTTTTGTCATTAATAGCAGAGGGAACGGTGCCTAAACAGCCTATTATAAATTCTTCTGGGAAAGCATATTACAAATAATTGAAAACAAACCTGATTCTGTGAACTTGGCAGCAAATGTATAACAGAAAGAAATTCAGCCCTGGCCCCTGGATGATTGATGAAATGTTTTATTCCCTTTACCTTTCATTCACACTGTGTTTGTCAAGAGGAAAGAGAAAAGGGAATGTTGTGAAGCAAAAGCCACTTTAGACAAATAACTTACAATAATGATCAATGACCTCCGTATCACTGTTTATTCATTTTTCTCAAGGTTTAGTGTTTCTAATATTCACGAGTTGGCGTGAATTCCTGCAGAAGAGGAGGCCCTGAGGTTCAGCGTGTCCCCACCCCCCGCCAGCTAACCCACATCACGAGCTGTATCTGAGCTGCTTGGAGGGCATGGCCCTGCAGCTTCCTGTGGTCAGTTATTACTGTGAGTCCAGCAAAGGAACAGGAACACTGTGTACTCAGTAAATCTACAGAAAGCTTCATCCTCTGGTGCGTGGGAGGAGAGGTCCCTTGGTGCACTCTGTTTCTTTGAAGGGACTGGAGATCTGTTGGTGCCGTGCAGATGTCAGGGGTGTGCAGAGCCAGCATCCTACAAACCCAGTAAATAAATGATTATGATCCAACTCTGTACAGAAGAGGGGAGGAACCTGAACTGAGGATGCTGTGGCCGTGGGTCGTGCCTGTGTTGCTGTGGCTCAGCAAAGCCTATAATGTTGGCACCCAGCCTCCTCGTTGCGGCCCTTTTTAAAAACCTTGGTAGTTTTTTGAATGTTCTGTGCACATCACAGTGAGAGCTGCACACCCGGAGAGTCCAACGAAACCTCCAGCGTGAGGTCAGGTTTGCAGAGAGTCCCTTCCCACGTCCTTTCCTCCTTCATCTTTGTCTTCTCACCAACTCCTACCCAGAGATCAGCAGTTCTGCAGCCTCCCCGTCCTGCAGACCTCATGCTGGCGCTTGGTCACCCGCTCTGTCATCTGGCCTAGCGACCACCGGTCAGCAGGTGGCAATACCGGCCGACCCCCGAGCCCAGCCCCGCTCGGAGCTGCAGTGGGGAGGGGATGAGCCAGGAAGCCCTCCCATCTTTCTTTGTCTTCGTCCCTCTGTGAAGCTGGGTATGGGTCAGAAGGAAAGATGCAGGCCCATGTCCTCTTCTCAATGCATGGTCTCCCGTGGATACTCTGCCTTCTTAGCGTTGCCAGAATCACCTTTCTATTACGGGAGGAACCTGCTGCTTGTGTTGTCCGAGGCAGTCCAGGGGTAGGAGGAGGGGGGTGGGTAACAGGTAGCTTCTGTACAGGGCCCAGCACAGCCTGCTAAGCAGAGACACACGTAACCATTTATATTATCTGTCTTTCTCAAGAGTAACAACTACTAGCACTTAATGGTTTTTCCTGTGTGCTAGGCATTCTCTGCTCAGGTTGGATGAATTATCTTTTAATTCCTTTAATTCCTATCTTTTAATTCCTTATATTATTCCTTTTAATTCAGGAAACAGCACGAGAAGCTTGTAATTGCCTTTTACATAGGAGGCGGAGACACAGAGATTAAGGTGCCTGAATTCAGACAAGTGGTCAGTGGCAGAAGCGGAATTTGAACCCATGCCATCTGTTCCCAACATATAAGGTCTTAAACTGTCATTAACTACCTGAAAACACATACAAACACAGCCAGTTATACAAGCATCAGGCACAGGCTTAGCCAATCTAGGGAAGCGTACATGTGCAAACATCCTCATTGTTACACGCAGACTCATTGTTACATGATTTATAATCCTACTGAAATAAAAATCATCCGGTTATGGAAAGATAAAATTTTGTTTTGCAAAAAAAGAAAAAAAAATCTTAATTTTTTTGTTCATTGTGTAGTCTTAAGATTGGAGAGAGGGAACCTGTAGTTTCCTCTTACAAAGCTTGGCCAGAGGCCATAATTAAATAATAGGACACATGATTTCACTTGAAAGCATAGAAACTTGACCAACCGTGGACATACAGTTTCACTGTAAAGATGAAATGAAGCAGGATGACAGTTTAAGGAGTTGGGGGACAGAGAGAGGGAGGGGAGAGAGAAGTCAAGAGAGAAGTAAAGATGGAAGAAGACAACACAAAATTAGTAACATGGAAGCAAAAGGAAGATGAGAGAGGAAGGTGGCAGAGTGGGAACGTGCGGAGAGGGAGCCCGTCCCTGTGTGGGTGGGCGTGTGCCCGGGGGAAGGGAGGGGCACGTGGGCAGGCACAGGTGTTGGGGATGGTAGAGATACAGGGAGCCTGGGGAACAAGCCCACTGCGAGCGCCGCGTGTCTGTGCTCAAACGCTTCTCTAAGTCGCCGTGTGACTCCCTAACCTAACGTCTCTCACATCTTGTTGTTTGCGGTAGAACCTTTCTGAACAATACACTAGTTGAGATCATCCACGGCCACACCAAAATGCTGCTTTTTTAGAAATGGGAGGGGAAAAAAATCCAACTAATGTATTTATACAGCTTTTCCTTGATATCCTTGCGACACACCGCACACAACACACACACTCACACAATTGCTCTCTGAGGAACTCTTGAGTCAGAAAGTAAGAATGGAAGAGAGACTGGATTTATTTTTCAAGCACACATCTAGGTTTTGTTCCAATCTAATGACACAGAATCTGGCGCAGTAGTTAGACCTCCTGCTCCAAGATTTTATTTTAATTTTAAACAAGTGTTCCCACACAAGGACTGAGAACAAAACAGGAAAATGTTGCTTAAGTTTTCCTTTGTGCTCTTATTAGATCTTTCAAGGGTACCGACTGTTCTGTCCTACAGTGTGGGTCACCGTGCTCTTGGTTGCTTTTCCTCTGTCTGGGGCTTTCTCTAACAGCTGTCCACAGTGAGGAGAAGCCTGTTCGTTTCACAGATAATTGTTGTGGGTACGAACATACTATTTTCCCCTTCTTCCTATAATGTGAGGTTTTTAGTCTTTTCTACTTAGTAGATTTTACTCTAAACTGTAAATTAATTCTTTTGCATGCCGGTGAATGGTTTTGTTTTGTTTTTTTTTTTAATCAAACACTTCAGTGCAAACTTATCATAACCGGTTTAATTTATTATGATGTTTGTAAGACCTCGGGGATTGTTCGTTCTTTCCTGGATAACAGATGCTTTAGACTTCCGAGTCTTGGCCATGTTCTGGTTCCAGTTTGGAGCTTCGCCTCTCTTCATCAGGAGGATCTCTATTTACGTGGATCAATGCCAGGAGGTGTTAATCAGGTCTAAGACTGTCCTTGCCTCAGTGATCCTTTGTCCTTTAATATACTCAGGAGACCGGGCACCGACCCACCTGGTGGTGGGTCCTTAGTGGTGCCCTGGCGCTCAGTAAGCAGTCTACCTCAGGAAGTCCAGCCGGGATAACCCTACTAGGATAAATCTGACTCGAATTTATGAAGAAAAGCCAAGAGCTGGGGAAGTCAAACAATATAGAAAATTCCAGGGGACGGAGAGCAGGACACTAAAGAGAAAATGGAATTTAAAGAGTGGAGTCAGTCACAGACAGGACTAGAATGGAAGTAAAGCAAATAAGAGAATGGAGGGAGGAGGGTTCAGGGGAAAGTCCTCTCCCCAGTGGTGAGCTTCTTGTTGCTAGAAGTGTGCAGATAGTGCCTAGATGACTGGCTTTTATTTATTCAACAAAATGCTTATCCAGCCTCTACTTGGTGAGGTAGTGTGTTTGAGCCGAGGAGTTCAGCCAACAGAGGCAGACTAGAACTGGAGCAGATCCCAGCTATATGAACATAGCCCTACTTGGTAAAATGTCAATCTCTCATTTCTTAAAGAGATAATAGCAACGGCCTGAAAAAGGGTTGTGGTAAGCTTTCAAGGACTCACTGCTCTATGAGTTAGTGTACGCAGATCATGTAAGAGTGTCTGGTATCCGGTAAGGACACATTAATAACTATTGTTTTTATGTGCAAGGTACTGTGTGTGTATTGCAAAGAAATTTCTGAAATAGCTACGAAGTTGGGATACATGACGAATGAAGCTATTCTCTTAGTCTCTCTCTGGGTGAGGCACACCCCAAACAAAATTTGGAGCGAAGTGAAAAGTGAGAGAACTTTCCTTCCGGTGACTTTTGCTCATGGCCTGCTCTGAAGTGACCCCTCTTAGATTCTTCCCCACTGTGACTTTCAGATGTTGTCTGTGCCCCTATATAATCTGAGTTTGACAGCACTAAGATTTAGTGATGGCATGTGCATTTGATAAAATTTAAATGAGAAGCTCCCAAAAGAGATCGAGAAAACCTAATTTTGACAGCTCTCCTTTTATCCTTGAAATATTAAATACTTTAACCAGAAAAATACAAACACAAGTAATACAAAAAATTTAACTTGGGGTAGTTTTAAAAATTATTATCTGAAAATAATTATAAATTTTAAAATAGATGTATGATGAGCAGCTACATGTCAAGGTTCTTTTAGAGCAAACATAAAAAGCTCTTTTAGAGCAAACATTTATGTTGTGTTTAGTAATAGTTTTGCCTTTTTGAAAATTTTAGGGACTGGTTGTTATTGTTCCTTTTATACATCATGACTAGCGGAATGATACCAAGATCTTCCCTTCAGTTATGATGGATTATAGCTCACCCATCTGGGCATGTTTCATATGAAACTAACCTAAGCTTCTTTTGAACAAGTGGGTTAGAAATAAATGTTTTGCTGGATTGCTTTGAGCTGTACAAAGCAAAAAGACCACCAGAAACCTTTGGGGAAAAAAAGGCCATATGAGTTTGGAGACTTTGAGGAAATCAAAACTCCTAAAGCAGCTGATATTTTGCTTCTATTTTTGATTTTTCTAAAAAAAAACTTCACCCTTCTATGTGTTGAGTAGTTTCATAGGAGTTAGTGCTGCCACAGGAAATGCGCTGTTGGTAGAAAGAATAAGTAACTCTGATACAAAGTGAGAGAGAGAGGGAAGAGAGAGCGATCTTTGGCCAGTAGAGAAGCTATGCAAATCTTTGGAATACAATAGTTTAACTAGTTTCACTAGGAGAGAAGAAAAATAAAAACATGAAAAATACTCTTTGAAGAGAGCTGATTTTATTATTACTCTGCAGTTTATTAATGACTATGGTTTTAACAGTGAAGAATTTATTTATATAGTTCATGGAAGGTAAAACTTGCATCCAGGATTGACAGATGTAAGAAATGTAATTCGAAGAACAAGAAGGTGAAGGTGGAGAAGGAGAAGAAAAAAGAAGGAAGAAGAAAAAACAAACAGGAGAAAAGCAATCTAAGTTTCAGGGGCTTTTGGAACCCAGTAGGTGTCAAAAGCAAAATATTGTCTTTTCCGGAAAGTGAAAGACCTGTTATGACTAAGTCAAGGGTAGAGTAGAGTAGTCAGTGATAGTAGTCAATATGGGTTAAACGGTTCATTAAGCTGACATTTTCATCTGTGTTGAAATAGGTTAGTTATGCAAGTTAAAGTCACACACAGTCCTTGACATTTTATATATTAGAATACTATTTTTCAAATGGCTCAGTGGTCATCAACCATGGAAGAGTTGTTGTTTTGCTTAGGTTTGTAAAACTTGTAAACTTCTAATCGTAGTGGGTACTTATTAAGGACCTTCCAAGCTAAGGCAGTACATTGTACCATGCATGGAAAAAGTCTTTGTAGTTCTGCTAAGTAAGAATATTGAAGTACTGGGACACCTGAGAGGCTCAGTGGTTGAGCATCTGCCTTGGGCTCAGGGCATGACCCCGGGGTCCTGGGATCAAGTCCTGCAGGGAGCCTGCTTCTCCCTCTGCCTCTCTCTGTGTCTCTCATGGATAAAGAAATAAAATCTTAAAAAAAATATTGAGGCAGCTGAAGGGATGTACACAAAGTATACTCTATTATTTGTCTCCTTAGCAATGGCTTTGACTAGTATCTTAAATAATTTTTTGTTGATTTATCCAAATATTAGGGCTACAGAGATACTCATATATCTTTTTAGGTACCTGAACTATTGCTATTCTTGTGAGATTTATTCAATTATGGTAAGCAAAATTCACGCTGTAAATCTGGATGGGTATCCAGTAAATGGATTTAAAAATATACGTAAAATGGATACAAAATCAAATTTTATTCTTTAATTTTTTTGTTTTCTTTCAAAATCAAATTTTAAATGACATACACAATACACAATTTGTGAATGAGGAAAGAGTTAACTCATTGGATGTTCTTTCACAGACTCTAATATTGGGACTCTGATACTGATTTATTCATTCGATAAGTAATTATCGAGAATCTGCTGTATACTACTATGTTCAGCAACGAGACTATATTGGAAATAAGAAAAAGTTCCCATTCTAATTTTTTAAAAATATTTTATTTATTTATTCATGAGAGACCCAGAGAGAGAGAGGCAGAGACACAGGCAGAGGGAGAAGCAGGCTCCCTGTAGGGAGCCCGATGTGGGACTCGATCCTGGGACCCCGGGATCACCCCCTTAGCCGAAGGCAAATGCTCAACCACTGAGCCCCCCAGGCATCCCAAGTTCCCATCCTCATTTAGCTTACAGTCCAGTAACAGACACAAACAAGAAAAAAAGAATAATAGGGGAGAGTCATGGGAGCTCGGAGAAATCACAGCAGGAGCTCCTAGGCAGGACATGGAGGTGTTCATGGAAGGAAAGAATTGGCATCTCAACTGAGACCTGTAAGGTTTATAAAGTTACATCTGTGCAAACAGGGAGCAATGGGGAGACAGAAAAGAAGTTTGAAAAAGGAGGCCAGAGATGAGAAAGACCCCAGCACAAAAGGGGAAGTGAAAATAACTCAGTGATTTGGAATATAGTAAGTAGCCAGTATTTTTTAATAAATGACTAAGTGAATTAATGAGAAATCTTGAAGCGCATAGGGGCGGACCAGAGATAAAGCTTTGTAAGCATGTGTTAGAAGCCGTCAAAGGACTTCATTTTCTGGATGCACTAATGAGCAGTGTTTACGTTAATAAAAATAATCATAAAAGTGCCAGCTCTCAGTTGGAGCAAATAACAAAATAAGGGGTAAAGGAAATTGGAAAGAGGACTTCAATAAACTGTGTCTGATACAACTAGAAAAAATGGACTGGAAAAACATTGATTTCATAATGCCCCATTTCCTCATCAAGGCCCTAAAGATTCTTGATAGGAAAATCTCTAGTCTGAAATGTTTAAATATTTTATTAACTTGTATTATAAATGACATATTATGTCACATTATTACCCAGTGTATTTTTATAACCAGGGCTTAATTATCACATTTTTGTATTTTTAAGACTTTAAAAATAATGTGTTTACTTGAAAAGGCTTTAAAAACTTGCAGTGAAACTTTTTTGACAAGGTAAGGAAGGTTATGTGTGAGCGATGAATCACGAAATTCTACACCTGAAACCAGTTTTACCATATGTTGACTAACTAGAATCTAAATAAAAACCTGAAATTTAAAAATATATATATAAGGAAGGTTATTTTTAATAACTACTTGGTTTCATATAATAAAACTAAGCAATCCATAAAGATGATTATGCATCTTAGGAAGAGATGTTCTTCTAGGGGCACCTGGGTGGCTGTCAGTTAAAGGTCTGCCTTCAGCTCAGGTCATGGTCCTGGGGTCCTGGGATTGAGTCCCACTTTAGGTTCCTTGCTCAGTGGAGAGTCTGCTTCTCCCTGTCTCTCTCTCTTTCCCCCTCCTTCTGCTCATGCTCTCTTTTTTTCTTTCAAATAAATAAAATCTTAAAACATTTTTTTTAACTTTAAAATTTTTTTAATTAAAAAAATTAAAAAAAACATTTAAAAACTTTTTTCTTCTGGAAACAAAGTGCTGTGTAATTTTTAATTCTTATTGTTATTGCCCCTTGATGCTGTTTAAGGAATTTACTCTATAATTTTTTTTATTTTTTTTATTTATTTATGATAGTCACAGAGAGAGAGAGAGAGAGAGAGAGGCAGAGACACAGGCAGAGGGAGAAGCAGGCTCCATGCACCAGGAGCCCGACGTGGGATTCGATCCCGGGTCTCCAGGATCGCTCCCTGGGCCAAAGGCAGGCGCCAAACCGCTGCGCCACCCAGGGATCCCTACTCTATAATTTTAATATAGTTTATTGTTTCTCATCTACTGCTTTATGATTTATAGTACATCATATTTATAGGCTGGGCACTGTTATAGCCAGACATGATTTGCACAAAGAAGTAAGTAACCGGTGGGTAAGATCCATCTTGCTCTAAGAGAATTAAGTCGAGTAGATCCTGTTTAAATACATTGTCTTATGACTTGGAAATCACACGGATGTGGTCTTCCCGGCTGAGAATGACCTGTCGAAATTAAACTTTGGTATAATAGAGAATAAAGTTAACTAATGTTAAACTAATATTTAAAAAAATGTAGTAGCCTTAGGTTTAAGGAAATCATGGATCAAAGCTGTTAATTGCCTAATTTTCTCTAAATCAACTTAACTCAAAACGCTTGGGTAGAACATGATCCAAAGGATTACTGGCTTTAATTTCAATTTGTGGAAATAGCATACTCAGATTTACTTACCTAACACGAGGAAAAATCTGATTGATTATTTTATGTAATTTTTAGGTAGAAAACTAGTTGAATTTGCTAAATATTTAGGATTGACATAAGTCTCATTTATTCAGAAATTTTTACGTAGCACTTAATTTTTGCTACATCCCGTCCTTTATGCTGGGGATTATATCCGTTAACAAAACAAAAAATTCCTGAATTTTGGGGACTTAGGATCCAAAGAGTGGAGAGAAATCTCATTATCCCAAGTAGGCCAGTGTGCTCATGGTATGTTAGGAGCAGAGAAGCATGGAGAACCCCGAGGCAGGTCGAAGGAATAGTAAACGCCAGAATAAAGCTTGCGCTGTGGTTAGATGGTCACCCCAGGACTCCCCAGCAGGACCTCCTGAGAGCAAGGCTGGAAAGAGATGAGAAAGTGAGAATCTGCTGAGAGAACATCCCAGGCAAGGGACCCCCGAGTGCAGAGTCCCTGAGGTCAAATCCCGTCTGGCCGGAGAAAGTGACGGGGAAAGAATAGGAAAAGAGCTGTCGGACGAATGCTCCCTGTGACAGTGTCGCAGGGCGAAAGTGGCACTGAGGTAAGTGAGGATTTTGTAGTTTGTGGTAAAAACATTGGCTTTTATTGGTCGTGAGATAGAAAGGCATTGGGAGGTTCTGAGGAAAAGGATGAAGTGAACGGGCTTAGATTTTCAAAGGCAGTTGTAGAGAGTGCCCCGCAACCGATGCTTGGAGCATCTGCAGGGCAGGTGCGGACGAACCCAAGTCAAGGGGAGAAAATACAACATTTGCTCCCGGTCAGGAAATGATGGCCTTTGCGCGGCCTTAAGGAGGGCTTTTGAAGGAGGGTGGGAACTGATGGAAGGAGGCTCCGCACAACCTGGCCAAACAGCTGCTGCTGTTACATCCCAGAAGCAGCTTGGGACCGGCCTCCTCACAAGACGTCTTGGCAGAGTGGCCTGACGAAAATACCAAAGCAGTGAGGAGGAGCGTCCTCTTGCCGAATCCTTTCTGTCGCCATCATGGGGTTTGTTAACCTAAAGGAGGGCGTGTGCGCCATTTTGTTTAATGTTCCTGCGTGTGTAAGTGAGGAGCTTACGGATGCCGTGTACAGTCCAGATGTGGTTCCTGGAGCATTTACACCAAATACACCTTCGTAATTTTCAGAAACCTTCATCCTGGACGCGTGGTGATGCCCTCCTTTCTTTCAAATAGCACTTTTGGAAGCAATGAAGGGAGAGCCTGGTGAGACCCACATCTGAGCATGAACTCGAGGGCACTGGTGATTCCTTGGACACCAGAATCTCTAAGGGGGACTAATTTTAATCGCTTCATGCATCTATTTGTTCATTCTTTACATTTAATTGATACCTTCTTAAGCCACAGAGACAACTTAATCTTGAACGTATTTCTGGCTCACCTGTGAGGAACCAGAACTGTGGAATAGACAAGACCTGCTTAAGTCTTCTAGATTCTCCTACATTAAAGGGAAGGTGTTTCAGGCAATTGAGATTCCGTGTTGTAGATTTAACATCCTCAAATGTGTTAAGTGAATTCATTCTCTACTAAATATCCAAGGTAAACTCAATTAACTGGGACATTTTGTATTTTTATCCTGAACCATTTCGAGTTTATTCTTTGTGGCATCAGAATTAGTTCCTCATCTCAGAGTTTGCTATATTTATTTTTCTAGTGATTCAGTAGTTTATTGGCAGTCAGTTTGTAAAATCTCTCTCAGGGATTATCTAAATGCAGTATGTTAGGAATGGAAACACATATCATTGCCTCCCCTGTCAAGAAACATAATTAACACACATGATTTACCATCTTGCAAGAGTGGATGAGAATTCCTGTGGGTGACCTCAAGTGACAGTTTCTCGGTGTATGTATGCATTGACGTGTCCTGGGACGGTCCTCAGCCCAGCACACATTCTTCTCTCCTTGCATCCCTGTCTCTTTAGCCTCCTGTGAGTGTTCGCGTGTGTGTCTGACTGTGTGTCTGTCTGCCTGTCTGTCTCCATGTGTGTGTTTTCCATCTAAAACCTACCAGTTTCAGGTTTTTAACAATTTTGGCTTAATTTATCACATAGGGAATACTGCCTCTATCAAGTAAAGGAAAAGTAAAAGTACTGTATTTCTTCCCCTTCCTTTGAGTGTATTGAGAATTTCCTCACTCCTTTTTATCGTGCACATAATTCATTGTAGAGATTTCTAACTTACTTAACCAGTCACACATTATTGATGGATATTAGACTGATTCCAATCTTTTGCTATTACCAAAAAAATGCCATAGGAATATACATATATTATATATATGTGATATATATGTAAGATATTTCCCATAGGAATGTACATATATCATATATATATATATATATATATATATATATATATATATATATATATGATAGAAATGTAGGATCTTCCCCAGAAATGGAACTTCTAGGTTGAAATTCTAGGCATTTTTAATGTTGTTAGTTATTGCTGAATTCACCTTCCTGGTGGTTTGCGCCATTTTACACTCACACCTGGGAGAATGCCTATATCTCCTTAGTTTTGGCATCAGGGAGTATTAGAGAAGTATTTTGGGGTGTTGACAGCATGAAAACATGGAAAAAGTTTGTTATTGTATTTTAAATGAGCAGTCCTGCTATTATGAGTGAGGTCCACTGTCTTATCAAAAGCTTAATGGCCCCTAATATTTCCTTTTCTTCAAATAGTCCCTTTATATTTTTTTGTGTTTTGGTGTTAATTGTTGGTCTTTTTTTTTTCTTATTGATTTATAGGAGCCCTTCAAGTATTAGGGAAATGCTTTTTTTTAGCTGTAATGGGAATACTTTTGGTTTTGTCAGTTTTCCCTCATTCAAATTCTCTGCTCCCTTGAGTCTCTGTGAGAGGATGGTGGCTTTGTGCACCTTTAGAGGGTAGTTCTTGCTAATTTCTATTTTTTACATGATTTGATTTTATTTCTTCTGGTATTAATTATGCTAAATTAATTTCCTTAAAAAAATCACCATTCCATCCAGGTTTCAATGTATTTTCATAGAGTGTGTTTTTCATAGAATTATGTTAAATCTTTGGTAGTTTTTTGTCTTCTTGATCTATCAATTTCTGAAAACCAAATTACAAAAAAACAACCTATTGAAATCTCTATGATTGTAGATTTGTCTAGTTTTCTTGAAATGTCAATTTTTGCTTTATGTATATTTTAAGGCTGTATAATTAGAGACTTTCAATCTTAGGAGTACTTTAAGTACCTGTATTATCTGAAATTTGTAACTTCTTTTTAGACCAAGTTCTCTGGTTCCCCACCATATACCAGATTCTTAAATAACTTTAGGACATAACAATTTTCAGAAAAAGAATGATTGACTTAAGATTTTATGAAGATCCTAGCAAAATCAAGTAGGTGCAATGCCTTGGAACAAAAGAATATGGGGAATGGTGGTATATAGAGAATGCCTAAAATATAAACAAATGAATTGCTTTATATATACATATATATAAAGATCTGTAAACTTCCTCAATTACTTTACTATCTTCCAGTGAGTGAATATGAACCTGTATCTGCCTAATTGAGAGAAGTAAAGCTTAACTATTTTCTCAAGAAAACTTAGAAAAAGCCAGATACTTTATTTTTGGTAACCTTTATTGTTAAATTATTTCCCATATTGTCTAGATTCACATCTCTTTGATCAACGGGAGACCAAGTGCAGATGATCCTTCTCCTGAACTGCTAGAATTTACCTCTGCTCGCTATATTCGCCTGAGATTTCAAAGAATCCGTACCTTGAATGCTGACTTGATGATGTTTGCTCACAAAGACCCAAGGGAAATTGATCCTATTGTCACACGAAGGGTAAGTCATGCTGAGTCATGCTGCGGTCTGTAAATGATACTCATAATTGTTAAATAATTTATTGTTAAATCACCTTTAAAGATATCTTTTGGTGATTTGTAGGAGAGATTGTTACCAGACTAAAATTCAACAAAACCTGGAACCTATTGTTCAAGCCAAGATCTGCCATTTATTGGGGAACATTGATCAAACTTTTTAGCATTTCTAAACTTTAATTTCCTCATTTGTAAAACCAAGATTATAATGCCTCGTTCATAATCTTACTTTTGGCGACTGAATTATGTTTTGTCACTTTCGGTGAACTGTACTACTATCATAATTGGCACTGGGGAGTTACCACAGGAAATGGAGTGGCTTTGAAACATTTTTGGCCACCATCCACACTAAGAAATATATTTTCTATCATAAATCAGTACACACATGCACATACACAGTATAATATATCTTACACTTTAATGTGAATAAAATTAGCTGGAAATATTGGGGAAAGGCACATTCTGACTCAGTAGGTCTAGGGCAGAGTTGAAAAACAATAATTCTAGCAAGTATTTAGGTGATGTAAGGGTTCCTGTTCTGTGGACCATTTTTTCCACTCAAATAAATATGTGTTTCGTTTAATGAATCACAAGGCATAGTTTGAAAAAGTGCTACTGTGGGGGAAAACTATACGCTGTTTTATTGTCCTTTATAAATAGAATATCATGGGGGAAAAGGGTGATGGCATCCTTTTTAATAGATTTTTGAAAACAGGAGCTAACAGAAGGACTGTTTTCCAGTGTTAAACTAGAATTTTTGGATTATGATATATGTGATCAGTCCAGGTTTCTATGAGTGATAATTGCCTGTCCTCCTACTTATTACTCACCAGGGTCATTGGTTTATGTCACACTCCTTATAGGCTGCTACCCAACCAAGACACTGTTGCCAATTCAGCTATAAATCCATAAAGCAAATCCATGCTAATAGATTATCTACTCTATGACTAGAGGTGAAGGTGGAAATAGGATTGTAGAGAGAAAGTGGGATTGTGAGACACAGCACTTCGTTCCAGAATGATGCACTTAGCTCTAAAAGCCCTGACTACTGCCACCAGTTACGAATGACTGAACCAGAAAGCTGAATATCAAAGGGCAGCACTTTTCACAGTTCATGAATACCCCTTGGATGTATTTTCTTCTCACTACCTAACTTACCCGCACCTAAGCACTCCGTCATCCCCAAAATAACATTTAAAGTTTGATTATCCGCATACAACACATGTTGGATGTTTTAGTGCCCTGCATTTTCCAAACCTGAAATAAATTTACCTTGCATTACATTTCAGCATATTGTAAGTTATCTTATGCAGAAGTAATCATTATTTTACTGCAATGTTTAGATTCGTTACTTGTTTAAAAAATCACTTTTAATTATGACTTTGGCATGACTTAAAAATACACTCTGAGGAAGGCTGAGTAATTTTGAAATGTAATTTAATCTTTTCCGACAGTATAACGGAGAAAAAATCAATGTAAATAAATATGTTTCTTTTATCATCTTTTGCAGGAGGCAGAGTAGGGGGGTTGGGATATACATCTGTTATTTATAACTTCATTGTACATGAGCCTTTAAAATAGTGGAGTAAAATGCAACATATAAATAAGCCTTTAGAAAGTACTCAAGTTCAGTAAGCATTACATATAAATTTAAATATATAAAAATAGGATATTGAATTTCAGCTCCTCTTCATGACTCAAAAGTGAAGCATTATGTGTTTATATTTAAAACAAATTTCCTAGTTTTAAAAGCACCTACAAAAGCACTGCATCAGCTTTATGAACAAATATCCCTATTCATATCTATATTATTAAGTGATGAAGTTAGTGAAAAGCAAACTTTTACATCACGTAAACTTCTAGCAAGTTTCTTTTCATGTTCAAGGTCTGGGTATATCAAGTAAGATAAGTACAAAAAATATTATAAAAGGTACTCTATGTAAACAACAAAAACAGAAAAAGAAGTAAATAGAGAAGGGGAATTTGTAGTTAGGGAACGCAAATTTGTATTCACCTACTTACTCTTGCTGTTTTTTTTTTAATGTGAATAACTGCAATAATAGAACGATCTACCACTGAGATGGTTATTTGGATTCTATAAGATAATGTACTCTCACAATTACAAAATGTTATATACATATTAATTAAACATTTTTAAATAGTCCAGTACTATAATCACAAGTTATCTTTAAAAATAGCTGGGTATATTAAAATAATTAAAAACATAGCCCTGTATTAATTACAAATAGGAAAGTAATCACATGGACATTTTAGCATAATGAA